AAAAACATAACTCAAACATGAATGTTATATTACATTGTTACTTTGTGATGTTATTCAGAGATATGCTCAATGTCATAGATACGTTGCGGGAATTGGCCATTGTATTTTTATATAAATATATTAGGAATTACATAAAATCAATGTAACTTCATAACGTATATTTATTGTTACTCAATAAATCTAACCAATATTGTATATTAACATTTTAATTATTTTCTAGTAGTTCCTAGGTTATGAATATTTTGTCTGGAATCATCAAGACACTCATCTGAATGATCTTCACAAAAGACAGAGAATATGATCTATCCCTGAATATGAATTGATCTTACCTTACTCCTGAAAGACTATAAGTATGTATAGTGTTGATAATGCGGTATCATCTTTCGATAAAATGCTTCGAGTTCTGTGATAATACTTTAAGCATATTCAGGAGAAACTAAATATTGATGAAATCATCTCTTGAAAACTCACACAGAATTCCGATCCAACTAACAACTTTCATTATAAAAAAATTTTTATTTACCATTAAACGAAAAAATTATGGCTGCCAATTGAATGTATAAAACCTTTGAAGAAATATGGCAAGACTAGTTTATATCTAGTATATGAAGCAAAAATAGTTCCCATACCTGAAAAAATGAATTTCTGATAATATATGCACGGATTGAAATTTCTATCTAGAGTCAGTTGATCTGATTGACATGAATGTAATTAAAAACTTTCGTGCGAGTATCAAATTCTGTGCGGCTGATTGTTACCTACAGAAGGTTCTCCTTTCAGTAATAATAAAATTTCAAAGTTTCCAGACAGTTCATTACATGCAGTCCTAATAGGTGGATGAATTCGCTTTGTTCTAGATTTTGATGAAAGTTTTGATATATTTCAGTAGATATAGGGTGAAGGAGTTGAACGGATTTATATCAACATTGAAAACTAGGGAGATTACGCTGCTATTGGTTTGGATGGTGGTGAAACACCAACTGTACGTACATACCTGGTGTGATTATCGTACCGGACATTTGAAATCGATATTGATGGGGAAAAATAGCGAAACAATGCAAAATTATACAAAAGTTGTGATCTAGTGCAGATTAGAGTGCAAGGGAGTCGCAAAATGATGGAAACAAAGAGAATATGATCCTTCATTGTTACACAATTTTACGATTATATTTCCATGTTTGACATCAGAGTAAATGACTTACTTGTTTATATATTTTTGTTGATAACTCGTGACGACACAAACACCGCGATCAAAGCAATGCAATTCCTCTTCTGAACCGAGCTTCCGAAGATGTCCTTTCAACCGGCAGTGCCCATAGTGCCCTGTTAGGATAACGTGACAAGACGTCCCGTTTTGAACGGGACTGTCCCTTGTTATGATTACGAGTCCCTTAGTCCCCTGCACTCCGGGACACAAAATTGTCCCGTTTTCAGAAATTGCGCAAGAATTTGAGTAGTCAAGTAGTGTGCGAGAGCGGGACGATAGCCTAGCGCCGATGGTGGTCAAAACGTCATCGCTCGCGCTTTGTTGACAGTTGACAGTTTTTTCGCCCATTTCTCGCTATTTGATTTGTTATTGTTAGACGCTCTTATGCCTGCCTTGGAGAGAGTTTTGAAAATGTATCAGCCATTAAAAAACTACTTTTTGAGTATTGAAAAATGTCCCCTATTTCTGAAAAACTTTTTTGAAGATCCCACATCTGAATTGCGCTCAGAGAAATAGTCGCTAGTGGATATCAAACGTTTAGTAAAATAGGCGCCAGTCTTTACATTCATCGAATAATACCACAACAAAATGGTATCATACTATATTATAAGTATCCTACTATTCTGCAGTGGTGATATTTGATGAAGTATAGTATTATACAATTTTGTTGTGGTATTATCAGAGGAACGTTGTGACTGGCGCCTATTTTACTAAACGTTTGGTATTTTCACCGACTATTTTTTTTCAGTGTATGTGGCTTTATTGTCTACACGCTCAATCAGCAAGTCTTCATCAAGTTGTAATGAAACTTGAAGGTCAGACTGTATCGGCAATTGAAACTGCAAAAGAAATCAATCAACTGAACGACAATTTGAGTCAGAAACAGATCAATCAGTTTCTTCCATTTTCAATCCGTCAATTGATAGTGAAATCGGAAGATAATCAATCAATCAATCAATCAATCAAATAAGCTTCATTGTCCAAAGTGTTAACTCATTGACAAAGCAGGTTACAATTTAACAATAATTATTCATAATGATATTCATAATTCGTCATATAGAATGGTAATACTTTATAATAACATTGATGATAATAACAATAATGTGAAGAATAAACACAATATATTATATTGTAATATATTATCTCGTCACTATATATATATGAAAACGAACAAACAGACGATATTTGACAAACTACACCAACAAAAACATGAACATAATACTATAATAGTTTCCACATGAAAATATATAAAATATCAGCGGGTATCATTGTAATATTCTGAAATACTATAGTACGCTTTTATTTCCAGTAGTTCCTTCAGCTTATGCCTAAAGGCTTTAAGATTCGAAACTTTACGTATCTCTTGTGAAAGATGATTGTAAATTTTTTTGCTTTCATATATAAGCGAATTTTTCATCAATGTATACAAAGGAATGGGTAATTGTAGATTATTTTTTTGTCTGGTGTTATGAACAATTTCTGGAGCTGAGATACTCGACCCGTACTTTTTGTGAATAAGGCACGCAGACTCTATAATAAAGATAATGTACACTGTCTGAATTTTATGTTGGATGAAGAGTTGTTTACAGTGTGCCCGGTTTGCAGCCTTACATAGGTACCGAACAGCTCTCTTCTGTAGAACGAACACTGAGTTCAATAATTGATCTGTGCAAAAACCCCAGTAAGCAATACCGTACGTAATATGCGATTCGAATAAAGAGAAATATGCCATTTTCGCTGAAGATGGCCCAAGCTCATTAGAAATAACTCGGATAGCATAGCAGCTAGAAGATAGCTTTCTATTGAGGTTTTTTACGTGCTCTTCAAATTTGAGTCTATTGTCAATCGAAAGACCTAAGAATTTACAGTGTGGTTTATTTTCTATATTCTGATTCTCTAGTTGTAAGTCGTCAAAATCGAATCTAATGGTAAGAATATTGGTTTTGTTAGCGTTAAATCATAGGTGATTTGAGTCGCACCAAAGTTTAACTATTTTGAAATCTCTGGTGATCGCTGCCTTCAATTCATTTACATTTCTACTGTGCCATAAAATGGTGGTATCGTCTGCAAATATAGTGAATTTTCCTTGTATAGAAAGACTAGAAATATCATTTATATAAAGGAGAAACAGTACAGGACCCAATACTGACCCTTGAGGTACCCCACAATGTATATTCAATGAAGAGGATTTCACCCCATCAATTTTCACAAATTGTTTTCTACCAGTGAGGTATGAAGCAAACCAGTCATTAACAAGACCCCTGAATCCGTAATGATTCAGCTTGGCTAGCAGTATTCCGTGATCGACACAGTCAAATGCTTTTGAGAAGTCACAGAATACTGCTGCTGCAGCTTCTCTATCATTCAAACACAGATAAACCCTTTCTAAAAATTCAAATATAGCCATGTTGGTATTTTTTGATTTCTGAAAACCGAATTGGGAAGGAGATAATATTTTATGTTTTTCTAAAAAGGAAATCATCCTCTTTTTGACGAGCTTTTCTATTATTTTCGATATAGTTGAAAGAAGAGCAATTGGTCTGTAATTTGAAGGTTCATTCGAATCACTACCTTTTGGTAGAGGAATGACAAATGCAATTTTCAATGAGTCTGGAAATATGCCATTAGCAATGGTACTGATATAGATGAAGAGTTCGTGAAAACGACGGCCACAGAATTTTATAAAACAAACCGTGAATATCTGGAGCAGTGGACTCGCTTTCTTAGATTGAATATATTTTATGTTTGCATGCTACAACTGCTCCAGTAGAAAAAGTATTTTCTGTGATGAACAAATTGTGGACATCTGAGAAAACTGAGTTACAAAAAACCTGCCAAGAGTCTCATTCTTAGTTGAAATCATCACCAGCTATATTAAAGCAAATTTGTTCCTCTGATGAATATAAATATAACTAAACATTTAGAGTGTATTTTTTAATTCCTAACTCTTGAGCTCACTTCCTCTGAATAAATATATAATTTTGAAAACGTGTTTTCTTTCATTGATTACCTGTTAATTGACCAGAATTCTTTTTTATTTTCTGGTTCCCACGAGAAGGGATATCCTGTATTGTTCAGAGAACATCGTGAGAACCAAGGGAAATAAGGTAGGAATTAGTGTTCTTCTTGAATTTCTGGAGGTTATATGCCTCAAGGAACACCTCCCTTGGCAATGTGTTCCAGAGCCTCGCTGTTCGTTGGATGAAAGAGTCTTTGGAAAGAGATGTTCTGCAGGTCTCCAAAGTGACCACGAAGGGGTGCGATGCCTCAACTCGACGGGTTAATCTCGCGGGGACTGCCAAGGGAGGTACAATTGTTGATATTTCAGAAGAGCATCGTCCGTGAAAATATCTATAAAATAGAGCCAGATCGCCAACTTTTCTACGGTGTTCCAGAGAAGTGAGTGAGTTTGTGAGCGAGGCATCACCCACGAGACGAATTGCCCTTTTTTGGACAGAATCCAATGAACCAATGTCCCGTTTTGAGTCGAAGAATAAATGGTTACGTTTTGTTAGGACCCCTGTTAGTATACAAAGATTACGAAGTTTATTTTTGCTTAGACATCATTCATTCGATCTTTTGTGGCTATTATACCTAACATGTAAATGGAAGAAGTTCTGTTATAAATAAACCCACTGAATGTTCAAAAATTAGCTGATAGTGATTTTCTATTTTTAAAAATGTCGCTTTGTTATCTTCTGTAAAAACGAGATTAGAATTATAGCTTATCAATTTATGCACAATGCACAATAAGATACGATAAGAACACTCGAATTAATAAGATACATATGTTATATAATTCACAATCTGGACGAAATCATACTATTTATATCTACATAGATCTAATATTCAGATCTATGATACCTATAAGCACTATAAGCAGTTTTTTATCAAACTGAGGTGATATCTTGGTAATTCGTAAAAGATGAAAATTTGTATCATTGGTGCAGGTGCAGCAGGGTTAGCAGCTTTGAAGCACAGTTTAGACGAAGGTCATGACTGTGAGCTTTTCGAACAAACTGGCTACATTGGAGGAGTTTGGAAGTATGTCGATAAAGTGGGTCTCGATGAATTCGGATTGCCCATTCATACATCTATGTATGAAGATCTAAGGTGAGTGACATGTTCGTTTGTGCTGGCACCACCTGCTGAACTTGATTTTCTTCTATTAGAGACAACTATGGAACAAAACCAACTTTAGCAAGTTCAACAATACAAACGAACATACGGAATGATGAAACTCGAAGCTTCCAAGCTTTCAAAATGGTTATTTTTACAACCATTTCCAATTGTCGACAGAAAGAACAATACTTTTTTATTATATTTTTCCTTGCATATAGTGGAATAATGATTCTGATTCGAAATACTGAACACTGAGTACTGAATATGATAATTTTGAAATAAATAGGCATTGGAAAATTTACGGGTACAACGGAAGTACCAAGTATCGAAGATTCACGGGAAATGAATTCTGAATGAGTGTTTTCAATACTTTCTGATAACCATACTGAATTGTTACGAAACAGATCTATCTTGATATGACTTGAGTAAACAAAATGGAAAATTTTTCAAGCGGTAGGTACGCCATTTGTTTCAGTGTTATTGTTTCTTTTTTATTACTATCTTTCAGATATACGCCCTATATGGACAATGGAGAAATATATTAATGTTCTAGAATGATGCCTCGAACATCTCATTTTATGCCCTTTAAGGAGTGTATTGGATCTCTCATATCTATATCATGAAACAAACAAAAAATTTAAAATGTAGATGAAGATGATATTTTTCTTTTAAATTTTAACTATCTACTCATTACCTCATTATACACAATTTATATGATCATAAAAGCTTGTCGCGAATCAATACTTTTATGGATTCCCATCTGCATGATTTATATGGAATCCCAAAGGTACATCATAAGTTAGTAGGTATATACCGAGGGGTGAACTGCGGTCAAAATTGTGTGTACACCAAACTTGAATTTCACAAGGAATGCCAAGGAATGCCAACCGAGAAAGATCTAAGACACTGACAAACCTCAGCAAAGGAAGTCTCAAAGCAATAACGGGATTTCTAACGGGGCATTGCAGACTTAAAGAACACCTAAGGAAGCTAGGCTTACAGGAGGACGGCACCTGCAGATTCTGTGAGGAAGAACCAGAAACACCACATCACATACTGATGGAGTGTGACGCTGTACATCACAAAAGATTGAACATACTGGGAACACACCAGCTGACTGTGGAAGAAATACCACAGCTAGACCCTCTCAAAATCCTCAAATTCCTGAAGGAATTGAATTTCGAGGGGCTGCTATGAACAAGAAATTCTTGATATAGCAGAAGCAGATGGGGCACAATAGATCTATAATTGGGTCGCAGCGCATCTGTCACCATCCAACCTACCAATACCAATAAGGAATGCCAAGGAATTCCAAGGAATGCCAAGGGATCCCGAAGAATGCCAAAGAATGCCAAAAGGAATGCCATGGAATTCCAAGGAATGCCAGGGAATTTTTTTCATTCTCGAACAACATCTTGCGCACCTAGAGAGGATAGGGAGAGACGGTATAGGTGTTGGAATTTTTTTTTTGACTTTTGGAAGTTCCACCACTTGACTTTTGGAAGTTCCACCAAATGTTTCCTATCTTTTGCACTTCTTCCACCGTACTGATGAGTGCCGGAAGCCCAGAACACGTGTCCACGGTTAACTCTTCCTGGGTGCTATGTCCAATAATATTTTCCTAGTTTTCTTGGGAATACTCAAATTGGCAGAGATTTCCAGAAATCAGCCGTTTTATAGACGAACGGGTTTTGGTTTATTGTTGTTCGACATATTTTTAGGTTGACAATGAAATGATGTGCTGACTGGGCCTGCCAAGTTCGTCTGATTGAACAGATTTCTGAGGAACATTTCGCGTGGAAGCATCTATAGAAAAGTGAAAAGTCCCTGACTTTTCTACGGTGTTCTAATGAAGTCAAAGTATTAGTGAGTGTGGCATCACCCACCAGGCGGATGGCTCTTCTCTAGATGTAATCTAAAAGCATTCTAGAACTGGCCGTATCTGTGCTTTGTAGATCATGAGAAGCCGTTGAAGAAAAAATCGAGTATTTGTGAACCAGCTCACGCGATAGATCGGACATGATTTTCCCATGAAAGAGAATTGCTGATGAAAATTCCAAGCATTTGCCTGTAGATCAGATTCATACCGCACTTCACCCAAGGAAATCTAGAGAATATCAGGAAATTCCAAGGAGATCTAAGGACTATCAAGGAATTCCAAGCAATTCCAAGAATTTCCAAGGAATTCCAAGGAATTCCAAGGAATTCCAAGAAATTCCCGTTGTTTGTACACCAGAATTCCACCGATGCGGTTTACCCCCCGGTATATAGGTACTGAAAATTCGAGACGAAACAACAACTTATATTCCAGAACCAATCTACCAAAGGAACTCATGTTGTTCGAAGGCTTTCCTTATAAAAAAGAACTAACTCACTCCTATATCTCCCAACAAGAAGTACTTGAATATATCGAAGCTTATGCAGAATTCTTCAAACTATCAACACATATCAAGGTAATAAGGTTATATATAAAACAGTTTTTTTAAATAATTCTCTAGGTGATAATTCCGAAATTGCACGATTTGATATTGTAGCTATATCATCATTTGGAGGTTGTCAGTCCAATACCGGGGCAAATATGGTCGGTACAAGTGAGGAATCTCAAAACGAACATGCTGGAAACGAGAGAATTCGACAGTATCATGATTTGTGTTGGCGAATATTCAGATCCAATAATTCCAGAACTACTTGGAATAAATAAATTTGATGGAAGCATGATACATAGTCATGATTATAGAAACCCAAATCCATACAAGAATAAAATAGTATTGATAGTTGGAGCCGGAGCTTCTGGAATAGATATTGCTGCAAAGGTCTTTCCTGTAGCAAAAAAGGTAATAAATCTGTATCTGTAAGTATCGACCATCCTAATAATGGAACATATTTAAATACTATTTCTCAATTATTCTATTGCATTCACCTCTCTCTATAATGATTTTTCCGTGTTAGAATCCTGCATTCTGGATATATACATATTTCAGGTGATCCAGTGTCAAAGAACATCAACAAGCAGTGAGTTCAAACTGAATATGGTAGACGGCGTTATTATTAAGCCCGAAATAGATGAAATTTTTGAGAAGAGTGTGAAATTCATTGATGGATCTGAAGAAGAAATTGATGACATTATTTTATGCACAGGTAGATATAAATAATGTTTTTCTGCAACCGATACAAAAGTACATCAGATCTTGAATTGACGTTTTCATTACTGACACAAACATAGGTATGTTGCTAGGCCACACTTTTAGTTCTCAGGGTCTGAAGTTGAACTTCAGCTCCTAGGAACTGAAAAAGATGTACTAGTTCATCAAGAATAAACAACATTGTTACGGTTGGCTATTTGGGTTGGAACGCATACCTGATTTGCTCCCGATTTCGGCAGATTTGGCATTTCATACCCATGGTGGAGATATAAATACACCATACTATAGTTGAGTATTCCTGGTTTGATCAGGAAAGCATTCAAAATTCACATACTTGTGTGATCTGTATTTCATTATTTCCATTTGTTATTCTCCGGATCTGATTGATTCGATAACTTGTTTTGAATAATCACGGCCATTGATACTGTTCTTGTCTCACACAACGAATGTATACCTTCATTTGATTACCAAGCCGAACAAAGTGGAATATGGAGAGAAATGAATAATCGCAATAATTATTCTTGATATGCTCACTAACCCAACATTTTTCTCTTCTTCTTCCTATACCTGGCACTAGCGCGGTATTTGCTATTATAGGGCTGACACCTGGTTCAAACCAAATTGATTCATTGATTCAATAGAATACACAAATGAGTCACTCTGTGGTTGTATTTATATTGAAACTACAATTCGAACATCCTTGAAAATCGAATAAAGCTGATCTGTGAATGCAGGTAAGATATGCAGGTACACATATTCTCACCACACGGATTATTTGTTGCATTGAACACATATGGCACGGCATTCACGTTTCCAGAATTTCCAAAATTCGCTTGTCAAACAAAGTGTCACTTTCGATCCTAATAAAACAATCCATATACTATTTCATAAAAGGTTGCTGACAGCTTTGATTGAAACATTTGTTATTTTGTTCCAGGGTACAGAATATCGTTGCCATTTTTGACTTCACAATGTGGACTTGAAGTTGACGATCATTACGTCAAGTATCTCTACAAACATACTATAAATGTTGAACATCCGTCAATGGCAATCCTTGGGTTGCCAATGAACATCCCACGTTTTCCTATGTTCTGTTTACAGGTATAGAAAACCTTCAAAGCAATATTTGGATGAAAATCGAGTAAACAAACTGTTGAAACTATCAACCTGATTCACTAAACCCAATGTCAAATGATAACATAGCAGCTTTCATGCATACGGGGATACCTATACGCTATACGCACTTGCGTGAGCCACTAATTAATATATTACAGCTTGACCATTCTAGCTTCAGAATTGGATGAGCAGTAGACCAGTCGGCGGAGTAGGGCAAGAGCTCATTAATGTCGAGGAACTGGTTCAGTGAACATCGGTAAGAACACTACAAAATCAATCAATCAATAATGTTGCCATGGTAGCAACGGGTGAGACCAAGTCCCCCCCCCTCTCACAAGACTCCCATAGGGGATGACTGCCGGTCATCTGTCTCTCGACTTATACCCACAGCACCCCAGGGAGAAATGGAGGATTTGGATACGCCAAATCAGCGAGCTAGATCCATCTGCGTTATGTAACGGCATGTTCTCCTGCCTCCTCCTCATTTTATTTTACCAATGGTGAGGCCGTCTGATAAGACAGACTACTGGCTCTGCAGTGTCAGTGCCCGAACAGAAAACGCTGCTCACCCGCCGAGGCAGGCAAGATATCCTCCTACTTGACCAATAGTGGGATTCTTCTTCACCTCCTCTACCGTAGTCCGGTGGTGTTTTTGAAAACCGCTGCCCCCTGGAGTCCAACTCAATTGGTGAGGCATCAGGCCGTATGTACGGCCTTATGGGGCTATCCTCATCGCCCCATCAGGTACCCATGCAACAAGATTCCTCTTGTTACGTTTGATGGGTCGCCGTATCGCAAGAGGCTTCGGCCTGATTGCTACTCATGTTGACAAGAATCCTCTCGTCCCGTTGAATGAGTGATCGTTCGAGGACTTTCACACGTTCCTCTACCTCGTTTACAGGAGAGGTACCGGCTTTGCCTACGATTACTGGCGGTAGGATCGCTTGGGGCTGCCCCCTCCCTGACGAACTGAGGCACAAGGTACATCAGAGTTCCAATTTTCGCTGAGAAAGCCCAGCTACCCATGTCGACCGGAAACCTCCAGTCCCCTTTGATGGATGTCCGTTCGCGGCCTTTCCCACGTACTGCTACCATGACAAGAGTGGAGACCTCAAGCTTTTAACCAGTGGTGTCTGGAGTCACCTGGGGCTACCCCCACCCCGACGTCGTGAGTACATGGTGAACCCACGGCCGTAAGAACACTACAGTACGATTGTACTTTCCAATAAAAAGGCGTAATGGATCTTTCGCGCATACTATCTCTGTTTATCGTTTGCGTATTTCAGGGGCCAAGCTAGCATGGTCAAGCTGTAATTATGTTAGCGTATTTGGGAGAGCATGCCAATAAAGTTAGATTTCTCTTGTAAGTGACATAGGTCATCGTTTTAGATATTGATAATATTTTATGATAATCATGAATCCTATATTGTAATCATTCATCGTCCAGTCATCCGTGAATTGAGAAATAGGTAACCCAATATGATTTGTCTTGAGGATTCCCTTTGAAAGCTCAGCGTAACATCACCAAAGAAGTAGGACGTATTGAATGATACCCAATAAATTCCTTCGATCTACTAGGTGTCAATACGTCTTCTTTCCAGTTATATGTAAAAATAACCATCGAGGTGAGAAATTTTGGATGAAAAAACAACTTCTATAAAGTAAATGTTCCTTTGAAAAATTACTAATATTATTTCATAAAAAATCGACCAAATTTCATTGCAATAAGGACGTACGGCACTGTACATAATGATTTTCGGCCTTGAGAAACTGATGATATTAATGTTTATGTATAGCAGTCCAAATTTGGTAAGAATTGCACGACTAATAGCTGAGATGAAGAAATTTACCGTCTATAATAGAATACCTGATAGAGCATTTACTTATTGACATGTTTGTTAAATCATTCATCTTGAATACTGTGAGGAAATAGCAGTTGAAAAGAGAGTTCAAATTAGTTTATCTACTCACTGCATCAAAAGTAAGCGTTTGCTCTCGCATTTAAGGACACAAACCCTGTCAATTTACTCCCACGGGAGCAAACAGAATTTTACCTCCCGTGGGAGGTGAAATGAATCGGCTTCAGCTTGCTTCCTTGGTAGAGATATACCTACTATGAAACAAATAATAATTTTCTTTCCAAACTCCAGTACACTCATACACTTCCCCATTTTCCAAACTCACTCAATCGAAAGTCGAAACTTCAAATAAAGTTGCAATATCACAATGATCACATTCAATTTGACAAATTGATTTTCGTTCAGATTCAAATATAGGTCACGTGCACGATGACCGACCCTGGAGGCAAAATATTGAAACACAACCTCACTCTTCTGTGAATTATTCAAACAAAACCTCACTTTTTCATTTGTTTACAGAGGAATCAGAGGATTGAAATAGATTTTCACAATATTTTGGCATACGAATCGTGTTTTTTTGCGCTATTCATTAATTCAAGCATGCCTTCGCATTGTACTGTTGTACAATGCAGCGAGAGCCAAAGGAATATGATTTTTTAGGCAAATAGTAATCTCACATACAGGGTGTCAATTTGAAAACTTCCCACCCTTAATATCTCCCTCCAAGTCGATAATATGGAAAAACGAAAAGACAGGTCGATTTTATTTTCGAGGGGGACATGGTTCTAAAATATTTTCAGCCCCGCGGCGTTGCCGCTTCTAACGAAAAGAAGCAACAACTTTGTTATTTCAAATGGAACATCCTGTATTTTATTGCATTTTCAGATTCTCCCTGAAAAGCTGATTTCATCAATGTATCTCACTTGGGGTCTAGCAGGAATGATTACAGAGATATAGGGTGTTCAAAATCGAGATTTTACAACTTTAGGATTTTTTTGAGTCGAAACTATTCATTATTGGTCAAAACGGCTTTTATGTCCCTATCTGAACTTTTGATTTACTATCTACTGACATTTATTTGAAACAAATACAGGGTGATCAAAAGTCTGAATCTTGAACCACCCTGTATTTGTTTCAAATAAATGTCAGTAGATAGTAAATCAAAAGTTGAGATAGGGACATAGAAGCTGTTTTGACCAATAATGAATAGTTTCGACTCAAAAAAATCCTAAAGTTGTAAAATCTCGATTTTGAACACCCTATATCTCTGTAATCATTCCTGCTAGACCCCAAGTGTGATACATTGATGAAATCAGCTTTTCAGTGAGAATCTAAAAATGCAATAAAATACAGGGTGTTCCATTTGAAATAACAAAGTTGTTGCTTCTTTTCGTTAGAAGCGGCAACGCCGCGGGGCTGAAAATATTCTAGAACCATGTCCCCCTCGAAAATAAAATCGACCTGTCTTTTCGTTTTTCCATATTATCGACTTGGAGGGAGATATTGAGGGTGAGAAGTTTTCAAATTGACACCCTGTATAGTTATCATTATGAAATATAGTCATTCCTAATTAAAATTCTTTCTGCCTTCTGCCACTTCTGCAATACAAGCTAATACTGCTTATAGATTGAAAATGTCTACAACACACATATTTCGTCAGCATGTCAGACCAGTCCTTCCGATTGATTGCATAAATCCAATCTTCTTGCATTATTTTAAAAATGTCACGTGTATTTCTATTAGCTCCTATTGCAGAAGGAATTCCGATGAGAAATCAGAGAAATTACCAAATTTCAAAAATTAAAACTATATGTGAGTGACTATAGTAGGTACTTACTTTTGAATCATAATGTACCAACCGGATTCCTTCGTCTTCCGCTGCAGTTTTTGTGCATTGTACAACAGCACAATGTGATGGCATGAGCGAATTGATAGATAGTCAATAAATACGATTCGTATGCCAAAATAATTGTGAAAAACTATTTCAATCACTTGTAAACAAATAAGAAAAGTGAGGTTGTGTTTCAATGTTGTGCCTCCAGGGTCGGTCATCTGAAAGTTCTTGCACGCAACTCATACTGTCAATAATTCTCCATGGGCATACTCTGTGGACGCATACTACACTTTTGTAACCTTAGATCATGTAACACATAAATTTGGATCGAGACTCGAGAGATAGACCGCTTGCAGCACAATTTTAGGATCGACGCTCTCAAATAAGAATATTGGTGGACGATGTCAAATATATGCGTTTGTGGATAAAATCATTTATATATCTAGGGAGCACAGCTATAATATACCTAATAGACCTCTTGATAGATAGATCAATAGATACTCAGTTTGCAACAACATATACACATTTTTCTCGCTTATCTACAAGTTCAAGAAAATCACCCATGGTTCCGAAATAATGAAACAAAAATTCACACAAAGCTTCGTTTGTCCCCCGATCAGCTGATAAAAACAACAAGTGTGCCATTTTGTCAGCTGACACGACTGCTCTATTGCCACAAGCCCATATTCAACTTTTTTGAACTCGCTCTTTCTACTCGATCGAAGGTCGGAATAAAGCAGATCACAAAATTGACTCACGCTTCTCAAACATGTTGAGTCCAATTCAGTACAAGTCATGAATCAATAAAGCTTCTATATAGAGATAAAACAGAAGTTTGAGCATCATGTGAATATTTAATCACGACTCACGTGACATTCAGAGAATCTCTCTTCACATACCCAACGATCACTCGACAATTTGAAACACGCTTCATACATATCGCAACCAACCCCGTCCTTCCCTACCGTCTAAGAATTAGCCAATGCATTTTTCGGATAACTTGATAAATAATACATATTGGATTACAAAAAATAGTGTTTGAATCAATATTCGAGTCTAGTGTTATCATTTCCTAATGATTTATCATAATTTTTTAAGGCACGATTCTATTTGGCATTTCTAAGAGGAAATCTGAAAGTGACAAAAGAAGAAATGAGACAAGATGTTGAAAAATATATGGAAGGCTGTAAAGAATCCGGAAAAAATCCGCACCTGAAAGTCGAGAAAGGATTTGAGCAGCTTATTGAAGACTTGGCTACCTTGGCCAACATAACCCCTATGAAACCAGTAATCCCAAAAATGTTCAACTATCTGATCAAAGTGGGTTTCGGAAATTACAATATGAAATATACAATTTTGAATGACGAAGATTTCGAAGAGAATGCTGTATGACGATAAAGATGTGAACACAAAACAGGAGTGAAGATTTTCAATAAATTGAAGCATCTTGATGCATTATTAGATAAACATTAAATAATAGAACCAATGATCAACTAATATTAAACTCCTAGATAGTACCTAGAGAAAGAGAGAGAGAGAGAGAGAAATTGACAACAAAATAAGAGTGAGACGCAAAGTTAGTTATATATATCAAGGGCGTAAAATAGTCTTCTATGGACCGTAGTGTGTGAGTAACACGCCTAGGTCCATGAAAGCAAGTTACACCCAAAATACATTCAACATTTTACGCACGACCGGAATATTTGATTGTTAATTGTTAATAACTCTCTACCTCTCAAGCAATATTGAAATACATACATCATCAATCAATCAATCGATCAATCAAAATATACTTTATTGTCTGAAAAAAACCTCATCGACCTCATACATACATATACATACATAATTAATAAAATATACCTAATATCACAGTGTCTATAGCAAGAAAGTGATGCTACAATCATACTCATATTAATAAAAAAGAAATAATAAAAGAAATAAATAAATAATGGAAAAGACAGTATCAATACGGATTGAAAGTGTATGTACTAAATTGATAACATAAACCTAAATGAATGAGAGTATTCCGTCAGGAGCTCTCATTAGCTCTCATGAGCTCTCAAAAAAATCAACTTGAAATATTCCAATCTTTAGCTAGATATTCTTGAATACAATAATAGATTTCTTTGATGAGATGTTGTTTCACAGATCTCCTGAAATGAATTGGAGAAACTATGTTTCTGAAATCGACTGGAAGATGGTTATATAATTTGACAGCATTAAAAATCAATGACTCTTTAGTTATGGGAAGTCTTAAATTGTTGTTTTGGCGAGTAGAACTTACAACCGCATTATACGACGAGTTATTGTTGTGAACTAAACATACTGTTTCGAGAATGAAAAGGCACGGAAGTGTTAGGATTTTGTGCTCTGAGAACAGAGGTTTGAATGGTACTCTAGGTGCCCCTTTGTATATGTATCTAATAGCCTGCTTCTGGAGGATGAAGATCGATTTGTAATTCTGTTCACTACAAATGCCCCAGAAAGGTATTCCATATCTCATGTGTGACTCAAACAGAGCATGGTATACTAATTTGGACGTGGCCATGCCTAGTTCTCTAGACACTATCCGCAACGCATAACACCCAGACGCCAATTTTTTACTCAAAAGTTTCACGTGATTTTCAAAGTTGAGTTTGTCATCCAGATGAATACCAAGAAAGGACCCCGCACGAAAACACGGGAAATTGGCTCTCGGTCGAATTGGCTGAAATTTGACTATGTTGTTGTGGGATGGCTCATTAAAAAAATATGTGAGTTTAAAAAGTTTTGTATGTTTAGTTTCTGAGATATAAGCCGACAAAGTTCGTAAAAACTTCGTATCGTGGTAGGATTGACAAAGAATAAAACTGTTTTTTTAGTATAAATGAAACAAAATAAGCTAAAAAATGTATTGGTCGGAACTCATAAACATGACTAGTTATAATCACATGAATTATAGTAAGTAGTACCTATACGAGGCACGGTCAAAAAATTCATTTTTCGGAAAAAAAATTCGAGCACTATTCCAAAACCAACAAGTTATATTTTGGTGGGATATTATAGTTTTAGTCTATTGTAGGCTTCGAAAATGTATTTTGATTCTTGATAACTATCTCTGTTCGAAATATGAATTTTTAGAATTTTGTGTTATACCCCTTTTTGAAAACAATTGAAAGCTTGTTTTTGATCACGAAGGAAGGGATTGATTGATACTGTTGATTGGATGAAAGCTGAGGAAACTCACTAGCGAATTCAGTTGTTCAATATTGCCTTTCATTTAGATACAGGGTGTGTTAGATTTTGTTGAAGATTATTTAACACGTTTCAATTGAATATCTCGAAAACAGTTCCGTTAATTTGGATCTCATTTTACACACACTATTTTCAATATGTTGACTATCATATGCAAAAAGTTTTTCAATTTTTTATGTTTCGTTTCCCAAATTTCAGCCAATTCGACCGAGAGCCAATTTACCGTGTTTTCATGCGGGGTCCTCTCTTCTCTTCAATGAAAATTTTATTTCCTAACTGGATGTCTGGTACTCGGTCTGGTAGATCACATTTGATCGACAGGAGGCTAGAGTTTTACCTATATTGAATGACAGCAAATTTAAGACACACCACCTTCTCACAGCGCAAATATCGTTGACAATTTCGTTTGAATATTCTTTACTCCAGTATCATTCCACAGGATACTTGTGTCGTCTGCAAAAATAGTGAATTTTCGATCGATCCAGTGGGGAAGATCATTGATGGAATCAATGTTACCATGATAACTCAGTCAATATTTCGAAATAGGAGTAGCATTTGCTGTGAATTTATGTCAACAAAGATAACTTATTTTAGGTTCGATATAGATATGTATATCATTTTGCGTCTTAGTAATATCAAGAGAATTGTGATATTAGATAATGAACCATCATGACTAGAACATAGATGTGCTGAATTATACAGAAATGCTTATTACGAGCTACCTATACGCCGGACGATGAAGTATTCCGTGGGCGCTAAAGTGCCAAATTACACCCGCAAAACCGGGCAGAGCAGAGGTACTTTACGCCCGGTCGTGCATGATAGTTATTTATGTATCAAGGGCGTAAAGTAGGCGTTTATGGCCTGCGGCGTTAATGATGGTCCGATGGCGCTAGCCGAGGAGCATTACACGCTGAAGGCCATCAACGCATTTCAAGCACTTGATCCATACAAGAATTTTCACACTAGTGGTTTATTTCCCGACAATTCATATGTTACTCATAAATTCAGTTTTCAAGAGTAGCGCAATGTTTATATGTATAATTTTCATATTAAAATTACCGTACGAATATCACAATTATCGTAAGAGTAAAACTCTCTGTTCACTAAAGATATTCATTCCTTGAGATGTAACAGTATGTATACCCAGTATATAGCTACCTAAATTTGACGTTGTCAATCAATCTGATAGTTGCTGTTTAGCAATACATCCAAAAAACAAGCGGAAATAGGGTATACGCGTGTGAAAATTTTACACTGGAATATATTTTTGTTCCATTACTCATATGTCGAATTATACATCCGAAAAACATTATTAAGCACCGAATATTTAATAATTTCTGATTGAAAATCATAATATTTGCAACTTTCCGACCAACAGCCGAACTGCAGCGATGATTTCCGACTGGATGTGGCTGTTTTTATTTGTCATGTCAAACATTCATGCTCGAAAGATTGAAAATAATATAAGAAGAGAAAGTGAGGTTATGATTATCTGAGCTTGTAGTTTCTTTAATCTATCTCAATTATATGATCTCAATATTCTGAATAATAATGGGTTTCACTAGGACATACTTGAACGTATACTTACTTCGAAATGGTCTTCACAAACAAATCCTCTGGTTTTCTCGGATAAATCATTTCTATTTATGGCTTGCAACCATAATTTTCTTTTCTCTTTATTTTTATCACTCGATCCCACTGGCAATGAAAGGAATATTTTTCCTGGTGATACTTTTGTTGATGAAAGGCATTGCGGCACTAAACAGTATTTGGTATAAACATTATAATTTTCCATTTTCTAATTTCAAATTTCTGGCGTTTAAAACTGTTTTCTTCTCCTACCTCTTCTTCTTCTTTTTTTTTCAATCTGAATCTTGTCATTCTGTCGCGCTAGTCTATGGCTGTGCGGCCTAATCCTATGACGTCATAATATTAGTGATGGTCACTAACCCGTTTTCCTGTGACTTCATATTTAGCCTCATTTAAATGAAATTTTTTAGAGTCACAAGCAAATTTGAGATTAATGAATGATATCCAATGTTATTATAAGGAAGAAGGAATATAATTTCGATTTAACAAAAAATCATGCGTATTCCTTATTGCCATCTTTTGGCTGAAAACCTCTGACAGTCAGAAAACAACTATTCAAAGAAGGAACGTTAGAATCAGCTGAGAGTTCAAATATAGGTATTCCCCAAATGGATGTGTGGATATAAGGGACTTGAGAACAGCGGGCGGTAAAGTGCACTTTATGGCCCGTGGGCGATAATAGGCCCGCGGGCGGTGAAGTACCAATTCACGCCGGCAAATCCGGGCGAATAAGTGCACTTTACTTAGTGCATAATAGTAATTTATGTATTAAATGCGTAAAATAGCCGTTTGTGGCTTGCGGTGTGAATTATGGTCCGATGGCGCCAGCCGAGAGCCATTACACGCTAAAGACCATCAACGCATTTTACGCACGTGATGCAACATTTTATGCACAAGGGATTACCTAGGAATTACTAATTAACATCGAGTTATGATTATAATTCATATACTATATAGGTTTGTCAGTAGCCTTATAGTATCTATACTATTATATTACGTTACTGGGAGAAGTTTACCGTTCAGTGTTGAGTCTGTAATAAATGAATCTACTAAATATTCAAATGTCTATGCTTTAATACAAAAATTAGCTAATACTGATATAACAACCGGAATGGAATTATTCATAGCCGGCATGAAATTATCTCTTATCAGTTTATATAAATATTCCTAAAGACTAAAGACCATGTTCAAACAATACAATAAAACCAGATATGAACAATTGAATACGTTTTATGTAATATACAAGTTGGACGAAATCATACTATACCTCTATAGGCCGTTCCTTCATATCTTGGTGAATTGTGCAAGATGAAAATTGGTATCATTGGTGCGGGTGCAGCAGGGTTAGCAGCTTTGAAGCACAGTTTAGACGAAGGTCATGACTGTGAACTTTTCGAACAAACTGGCTACATTGGAGGGGTATGGAAGTATGTCGATAAAGTGGGTCTCGATGAATTCGGATTGCCCATTCATACATCTATGTATGAAGATCTAAGGTGAGTGGCATTAGCTCATTTTCGAGATTGGTTTTTGTTTTCATACAGTGTGACCCACTTCTATTGGAAACAACCCTGTATCTTACGTAATCGTTGGGTGAGGATCCTGAAATTTGCTGAAGCGAGAGATATTCCAAAAATGCACTCTATGACCAAGT